TTTTTTTTGCACTGGGACTGCCCGGGCCCATGCCCGGGGGTCATGCCCCGCCGGTCACTCGGTCGCCAAACCGGGCGTGACGTTGGGACCCAGGCGCCCGGGATATCGGGATATCTCCCTAGGCCTTCAGAGAATTTTCGGAATTTCCAGAAATTTGAGAAATGGTCAGCAGAGACACTTCCAATGCTCCAAAAGATAACATTTGACATGCAGCAATCATGAACTAAACCAAAAACAGGGAAAAAAAAAAAAAAAGGCCAACAAATCATGCTTTCAGGCTAGTTTCAGCCTTTCACGAATTTCTCCATAAATTTCTCAATTTCTCAATATGATATTGAATGGAACGCTGGGCCCGGTTCCCAGCACGTGCTGCTCCCCACGAATAGATTGGAGCATGTTGCCCTTACTAAAAAAAAGTGTTGTACTGTTTTGTACATGTTTAACACCATCAACCAATGTCCTTTCCCTCCTCTGGCGATCATCATCTCCCTCACATAACCGTCGCCGCCTCCTGTAAACCTATTATATACAATAGTAAATGAACATGAATCAATGCCGAATAGATCCCCCGCACTGCCAGCACTCAACGAGGTCTCCTTTCGGCCTCTCCGTCAGTTCTCTCCTCCTGGTTGCATAACTAGCTATGGCAGCTCATCCATGTCCACCATAATACTACTATCATGCATCTCCTACCTCGTTCCCCCATAGCCGCACTCCTAGATCAAGCCTGTGTCCAACCAGGGGGCCTTTCAGATGCAAGGCCAACCGGGAAAGATGCAGATGAAGTTCCGCCATAGCCAAAGGTAAGTCCGTCTTCCTCCTCTACGTCCACTTACCTCTTCTACCTGCATTCATAGCCTTAGCTCGAGGTCCTTCTCCCTCTACCTCCATAGCCAGGACTTCTCCCTCAACTACTACCCCATAGTCATGGCGGTCCTCTTCTCACCCTCAGCTCGTTCGCAAACCCTGAGCTGCCATTCTCCTCCTTGGCAGAGCAGCCGCATGACTACCGGGTGAATGCGCCCACTTTTTGGCGGGAACATTATTGCGACCTGCAATTCACCTACGGGGCACGAATCAAACCTGATATCTACCTACATTCAGGCCTCTGCCAGAGCACTGGTCCTGCCTGAAGCTCCTACTTTTCGGCGGGAACATTATTGCAGCCTGCAATTCACCTAGAGCGCATGAATCTAGCCTGATATCTACCTACATTCAGGCGTCTGCCAGCGCACTGGTCCTGCCTGAAGCGCCCACTTTTTGGTGGGAACATTATTGCAGCCTGCAATTCACCTACAGGGCATGAATCTAGCCTGACATCTACCTACATTCAGGCCCTGGACCATAATGACCAGAATGAAAGCTACCGGACCTTTCTAGGCCTACCCAAGCTTACTGGAAAGTCCTACCACCCTATCAAATTTTACTTTTGCCCTCGTCCGTCCGGGAACTTCCTCGCAAACCCGTTTGGCCATCCACTTTCAGTTCTACCCCTGCAACTAACTCTATCTATTCACTGTTCTACCCCTCCACGGACACAAACACAGCACGAGAACAGAGTTAACGATCAGACACAGACTCAGGGTCAGCACGCATCACATAGACTCTTGTACACACAGACAAGACAACAAACACAGCAGGAGAACAGAGTCGGCGAACAGACTCAGACTCAGGCTCAGCACGCATCACATAGACTCTTCTACACACAGACGACACAGCAAAACACACCCAGAGTTGGAATTGTCAGCAAATCAGGACCACAGACAGCAATTTTCAGGAAAATGCAGAAAACTAGGACTGCAACTGTGCGGGGTCATTGCACGGAACAAAAACCAACCACCAGAAGAAAGAACAATGGCCATGCTACCAATGAGCCTGGCTCAGTTGGTACACCCCCAGGAACTGTTGAAATACAGACCCACGTTTGAATCCTCATGATGATGGGATCAGACGAATGACAAAATATTTCTGAATTACATAGTGCCGGTCAGCTCATTGGCAATATCTCAAGGCCGTCGCCCTTTTAGAAACAACAACAGAAAAGAAAAGCAAAGGCCATGCTCTCTGCCGGCAAACAGAAAGACTGAACAACAACGGTCAGTCGCATGAGGGAAGATCACCTGCCAGTGCAATTTGGTGCTCTGCAGGCGATAGCTGGGTAAAGACGAGTTCTTGAAATTTTGGAGGGCAGAAATTATGACTGTGACTTACTGTGCAAAGGAAATACGTCTTTGATAAACCCCCTTGCCTTTAAAAAGGACACCACAGACCGCCCTGGAGAGAGAATCATGCTCGCTCGTGTTTTTGGGTGCACAAGGAACACATCCTGTCCTTCGCTTCCCTGTATATACACCACACACCACCACAAACATACCGAGCCCCATTCATACTAGATGAGATTGAAATGGCATTAAATTTTGAAATTATATTCACAAACACCCTGTTATTTATTTATTTATTTATTGATATTCATTTCTTTATTCGTAAACAATATAGGCGTGCACACAGAACACTGCAGTCATCAGAGAAAGTTGAACCCGTGTACGAATAAATCAATGAAATATAAATAAATAGCATACTTGCGGCGCATCCCGTGCGCGCCACTTGTGCACGTGCGGCGCACTGCGCGTTGCGCACCTGGCACCCGCACCCTGTGCGCCGCATGGGCAAAATTCGGGGTCAGCCAAAAAAAAAAAAAACTTGGCGAGGGCGTGAATGGAAGTTCCCACGCCCAGCCAAAATTAGGACATTGCCCGCGCAAATTTTTTTCAGGGCCGCGCCGCCCCAAAACCTGTGTCGTCATGTTCGCTGTACACAACTCCATACTATCTTCAGTGTATCTGAGCCCTTTCAAAGGTCCAATACGATCATGATGAGGAGGCATCTGTGGAACCCTTGCTTTTGTCTCATTCCACGTATAGAAAATGACAGAACTGATAGTTGGGTCTACTTAATGCTTTCGCTAAAAAAAAAAAAAAAAAAAAGAGAAAGAGAATGTCCGTGACAAATTGAAAACCAACAACGTGGCGATGTATCTTTCCATGTTCTAGTGACAGATTCATTCTAATTTTGCACAAATTGGAGAGTAGTCGAACCTGCCACCAGAATCCGTTGGGCCTCTGGGCCTCGCTGCACTACTCTCGAGATGCACAACAGACAAAAATCACGGCGGTGTATCTTTCCACATTCTAGCGGAAGATTCACTCTCGTTTTGCACATTTCGAGAGTAGTGCAGCGAGGCCCTCTGTCACATGAGGGCTGCAAGTCCAGCTGTAATCGGGTGCGATGTAAGGGCCTCGCTCCACTACTCATGCACAAAAGACAAAAAATATGGCAGTGTATCTTTCCATGTTCTAGCGGAAGATTCACTCTCATTTTGCACATTTGGAGAGTGGTGGAGCGAGGCCCCAGGCTACCGTTGGCCCCAGGCTACCGTTGTATGGCCCTCGCTCCACCACTCTCCAAATGTGCAAAATGAGAGTGAATCTTCCGCTACAAGATGGAAAGATACACCGCCAT